AAAAATATAAAAGTAATACTTGAGCAATCTATATTAATAGTAAATTTTTTAAAAAAAGTAGTTTGTCTTACTAGTTTTTTTTATCAAAATAGTAACTCTTTTGATTTATTTAGAGCATTATTAAGCACCTTAATCAATGGAACAAAAAACATTAAAAAATAAATTTTATTTAGCAAAAAATATTTCAAAAAGGTTAAATGTATTTAACATTATAATATATATTTAAATAAATATCATAATTTAATTAAATTTATTATATTTTTATTAATCAAAAATTAATATATAAGTTTATCATTTTGATTATAAATATTTTATAAAAAATTACTTTTTTTTATCTTTGGCTTTGCAAAATTTATAATTAATTAAGTTTTAAAAAGATTATAAATAATATTTTAAGAAAACAAAATATCTTAATTATACCTTGTTAGTAAGATAAATTGCAACTTTGATAAAATAGTATTTTATAAAAATAGGCTAATCTGTAACTAAGTTAATACTACCCAAAGTTGTAACTTTAAGTATCTGAAGTTGCACTTAATTGAATATTCTTATAAAGTATAGAATATAAATATACAAAAAACTTCTTTTTTTTTCTTAATTTGCAGAGATTTTCTTGAAACATATAGAGCATTTTAAAAAATAATATTTTTAATTAGACTGCTGCAACTAATCTTGAAATTTAATTAGTTAGTAAAAATTATTATATGATTGTTTATTATAAAGAAATATGTACATATAGTTATAAGCTGATAAAAAAGTATTTAGATGTAATATAAGAATTTTCTATTTTAGTTTGGTATAGCTAGCTTAAATAAATATAAAAATTTAGTCTATTAAATCTTGTTTATTATAATCTAATTTTAGTATAAACAAATTTATTATATATAAAGTTAACTATATATTTTTATCAAGATGCAGAAGTTTAAAAATATAAGTACAAAGTTTAGTAAGATTATTAATATGTTTATATAAGAGAACTAAAAGTTAATAAAATAACTAAAAATTAAGTAAGAATATTAAAAATAGTATTTTGCTACTATATAAGAATTATTTTTTATAATTTATTAACTACTTGTTATATAATACTGATTCAAATTTTTTAATATAAAAAGCTAATATAAGAAAAATATTTTGATAAAATATCAGAAAACAAATATTTAAATATCATATAAAAGAAATAATAATAATAAATAAAATTAACAAACTATTGACTTAAAATCATAAGATGATATTATGATGTTATACTAAAATTTAAAATTTAAACTAAAATAAAGATGATATAAGATGATTAATAGATCATTAATAAATATTGAGTAATGCTAACAAATAGCTTAAAGATTATATAAATTATGAAAAGATATTAAAATAAATAATACAATTATATATATATAAATATAACTAGACTAATATAAATTATATTTTAAAAAATAATTACTAATAAACAAATAAAATTTTAATTACTAACTCTTTCTGCTAATCCTTAATTCTAGAAATAAACAAAATCAAACATATAGAAATAGAACAGAACTAGTTAAATAAACTCATACAGAGTCATTAAAGAAAAGTTTTAGTACAAAGAAATATAAGTATTTTATTAATATACTAGTATAGATAAAACTCTCTTTAACAAAGTTTTTGCTTATTTTCAGTTTGGTTTAGAAGTTTGAAAATTTTTTTGAAAAAATCAGAAAATTATTTTAGTCAAATTTATTAAAAGAAGTTCAAGTAAAAGTAAAAAAAGTTTAGCCTAAAGAAATATTTTAGAATATACATTTAGAATAAATTTTTAGAATAAGATATGAAATAATCAAAGGTCTGGTAAAAAAAAAACTATAGACTTTTTATAAAAAATAATCTAATTAAGTAAAAAAATTAAAGAATTTTTAGTAGTAACAATTAACACAGTATAAAATAGTTTTTATAAAGATATATGAAAAAGATAATAGAATGTTTTTATATTATAAAAAAAAATATAAGAATTAATATAAAAGTCAAAAAATAGAAAATAATATTAGAGAACAAGTAGAAACAGAAAAAGAAAATTTGATTAGATATAAAAAAAGTTCTAATAAAATAGAAAAACTATTACAAAAAGAGTATACAATTGACTACTTATATAACTTTTTATATTATCTATTTAAGAAGTCTGTCTAATGTTTCTTATCAATTGTCATATCTAATATCTCTACTTAAGTATTTTATTTTAAACCTTCTGAACCTGTCTTATATTAACTTTAACAAATTAAGTTTGAATTCTTATCTTAAACTTAGAATATTTTTATCTTTAAAATAAACTTTCTAAAGCCTATTATATACTTATTTTATAGCTAACTTAAATATTAGTATAACTGAATCAATACTTGTAATCAGAACTAGCCATTAAACTACTATGCTCTTGCAAAGTTCACACAGATCCTAGTACCTATTTCATAGAATATTCTTTAGTAGTTTAGTATATTTTTACTTCTTTTACCAAACTTTCAATTTAGATAACTTAGTAGAACTATAACCAGTTTATTAGTATATCAGATTGATCTAGTATTTTTTTTTTTAGTCTAATCTAATAGCCTGGTTAATGATATCTTTTACTTAAAAGTTTTTGTCTATTTGACTATTTTAATATTAGTATTTGTTTTCTAAATTTAGTCATTATAGCAATACTATTAAAAATTTATGTTATCTCTTTGCTTAGGTCTTTCTAAATAGGCTTTTTGTTTTTTAATTTTTATAAATTTATATGGTTATAAGAACTTATCTTAGGTTTGTACTATTTAATACTGGTTTGCATTTTTTTATATAACTAGTTACACAAATATTTTATAACTTGTCAGTTATACTAATGCAACTATAATTATAGATATCTTTATTTAATTATTAAAAACAGTTATTATAACACAGATAGAAAATCCAAATTTTATTATTAGTAGGTTTTGAATTTATAATCCGTCACTTGAGAGGTTGACAACTTATTTATTTTACTAAGTTATTACATCTTGATGATAATCAATTTTTTGTTAATATTAATATATATCTATTTATCAATTTATTTTGATTTTTAATATATATTAATTTATAACTACTTTGCTAATACACATCATTATATTTTAATTAATATATATTAATTAGTATTTATTTAAAATTTTTCCAATAAAAAAGTAATATAATCTTTAATAATATCACTTGTAAAAATCTTAATTCAAAGAAGAAAACCTAAAACAAATAACTTGTATATACAAGAATTCTAAATAAAAGAAGTCTATCAATTTAACTAATTAATTAATCTAAATATAAAGTTACATCATATAGAACTAATTGAATTGGTAATATAAAAAATTTGTAAGAGCATACAAGATACCAGTGAAGTTATAAAAAAGTTACTAAGGTTGTATAAATTATGAAAAATATAATAGTTTAATAATTAATTCTAATTGCAAATATTGATTTTATTAATAATATAATATTAGATCAACTGAAAATTGAAATAACAAAAAATTCTAGTAAGTTTAATACAAAATCAAAAGTTTTTTATATGAGTGAACTGGTTTAAAAACTTAGTAATCATAACATATTTGCACTAATAAAAACTGAAACAGTTGATAAAGTAAGTAAGTAAATGAATACAAAAATCAAAATGGTTAAATAAAGAACTTACAGATGAGTTCTAGGTATAACAACTAATATAAAACTTTTAGTGAACTACTTAAATTAAACAATGAATAAAGTTGTATAAGTGACTAGTTGTATATATAATTTTTTTTGTAATTGTTGTACAAACAGCTATTAACTAAAACATACTATGAATAAAATCCTAAATTGCAAGTACTCATTTTGACATTAAAAAAGACTATTATTTACCTTTTACTCTTAACAAGTATTTCAAATTGTTTTTACTAACTTTTAATTAAAAAATATATATATCATTCAAACCTTTTCATTCATAACAACCTTAATTCAATCTTAATTACAATAATAAATTTCAAATAAATTTCCTTCTAAATAAAAAACAGAAAAATAAAATAAATAATAAATAAAAAAATCTAATTAAAATTAAAAAAAATTAACAATAATAACCATCAATAACAAACATGTCTTTCATTTTCTGTACTATATATACATATAATAAAAATTTACCTTCTCTATCATTGGTATTCTTTGCTCACATGCCAAAAATTTTTCTTTATGATTAAGTCACTCTTTTTAAAAATAAATGTAACATGCATGGTAATAATGATATTTGGAATCATCTTACAAAAATTGTACCAGATGAAAGAATGTGCTCAATGTAATTACTGCAATTAAGCCTTGCAAAAAATACATAGAAATTCACTATTTCGATTGACCAGCAGCAATGATCAAAAATTTAGGAAAAATTACTCGAATGTTTCTTTGCTATATTTGAACCGAAATCCAAATTCTTCTGGTGCTGGCGTCGTTCTTAAAAGACTTTCTATTCCTTCAAAGAATTCCTGATATATATATGAATGGATTTAAGTATAAGTCAATAAAATTTGTTGATAGCCAATATGACTCAGGTAATCCCTTGAAATCACTCACAACTGATTTGGCATAGGCTTCTAAATGTCTATCGTACTAACTTCGTGCATATCTCATAAATGGCTCAAGAACCATTATTCTACGAGTTCGAATCTCGGTGTAAAAGTGGTGCATGTTTTCTTTATTGAACAGATATAACAAAAATTAGAAAAAATTAGGTTAAATGTAAAGTATATAAAATATTACCTAAAGTCATTATATGTGCATTTAACTGTTCCCTGTCATCAGCGGGTGATTCTATTTTAAGAATAAGCATTATACATTCAATAAACTTGAACAATATATTAAATAATATAAGTTTTGAGTAGGCCGCCAATCAAATTCGTACATTAGTGAAACGATGTTAGCACCAATCAATTCATTTTAGCAAGGTGAGTAATATTTTAAATCTAATCATTATTTAAGGAGTTAATCTATTGTTTTCGTGTCCAAATTTGAGTGGCAGTCTATGTGAACCTAGTATGCAAAACTTGAAAACTAGATGTACGCACCGGAAATATGCGAATAAACAGAACTATTACTTTTCGTCTCTTTGAAGTAACCTTAGTATCTTCAATTGCTTTGAGTTGTTCATTCTAAATTAGCCACATTTAATTGAACAATAAATACGTATGTGGATATACAGTTGCTATAAGTTGCCATTACCAGCAAATTTGAATACTTATAATAAATCGTTCCAAAATTTCAAGACAATATTTTTGACATTTCGAACCACTTTAATTACATAATTGTAGTCAAGTCTCTCATCTTCATTCATGAGCTTTTCAATAGATACAATAATTCCTACTATTTGGCTATTTTTTTTTATGTAAAATTTACAAACATCTAGTCAGAAATTTAATATAGACTTCAAAATATCTAATAAACTAAATGCTTAATATTCTTACGCTGCGTCAAGCTTGCATCCATAATCAATAAATACGCATAATTCATCTAGGATAAATTGAATGGTTTTTCCATGTGCTCGCTTTAAAATAAAACCATTTAGAACTCTCAACTAAAAGATATATCCATATATATTTGATCAAAATAATAACTTACAGTAGAAGCTTTTTATGCATAATTTCACTTTCATTATCATCCAAATCCTTAAGAAACACTTCTGAATCGCATGATAATTTTGAATCTTTTTTGGTAAGGTGAAAAAAATCAGCCATGAAGTTTTGTTCATTAACGATCAATGGAAAATAGTCCGAAGACAATGATTGAAGGACTATAATAAAGTGATGTCATTATTAAATATTAGAAATATAGTCAGTTAATTATAGTTCTAAAAACTCGCTATATATGTTACCTCTTCAAGTGGAATTTTTCCATTACCACTATCTTTAAATTCAAATTCTTGTTTGGTACTATCAAATGAAAATAAACTACTCCGATTACTATACGCATTTGCCGCACTAAAACTACGCGGGTCATGAAGATAGTAAGAATGTCATAAAGTTACATAATGTTAATAGTTTTTTAAAATAAAAAACTTGTTTACCATAGTTAGCTTCCTCAGTCAACTCTCTTAGATAAAAGAAGTCTCATCTGCTGAAGGTATTCTTTAGTCTCTTTTATAAATTGGCTCCTTAATTATTAGTATATTTATGCCACCAATTCTTAAAGAATTAATAAATTCTGGGTAACCGATTGAACTTCTAAATGTCGGTTAGAATCCATTTCTTTCGCCCACAATGACAAGTACGATATTTAGACAAATAATTGTAATATAATCGTGACTTTGAATGGTTAAACTATTATGTCGTGGCCCTCTACTCTTGTCATTCATTAAAGTTTCTGCCTAATAAATAAAAGATTGTATATGTTTAGAATCGATAATAAATAAGTAAATTAGGAATCAAAGTGTGTATAAGGTTAGAATAAATAAATAAAAGAGATATATGTTTGCATAACTATTACGTAACTTACTTGGTACTGGAACATCATACACATATATTCACAAAACCGAGAACAGAAATTTTTAGCATGATATTTATGTGATCTATTTTTTCTTGTATGGCTTTCATCTCTTGTAAAGCTAAAAGTAGACGAGACGAATGTTTTAACAATTGATCAAATATGAACATCGACATACATTTATCAAACGATGTTTTGATTGCAAGTTTTAATTGCTCAGCTGCTTGTTCAATGTTCTGAACTCCTTGAGGAGTGTCTTGACGGAGGATTTTAATCACAAGGTCAGGAATACTGATTGTTTACTAAAAAACTAGTTGTCAATCTCAATATCGAATATTATATTATTGAAGACTTTATTAAAGTCTTTAATGAAAAACTACTTTCGAGCTTCGGTAGGACTTTCGACTTTCAGATTTGTACTTTCGGCAAGTCGAATTTACTGTAAGTATTTTTGGCACACCAAAATAGTTTTGGAGCCATCCTTAATTGGGTGCTAGTCAGAATCCCGACATGTTAGCCCGCATTAGGTTAGCATTAGCCATTTTCGGAATTTTTGGTAGAATTTTATTTGTCGGGATTCTGTTTGTTGGGATTTTGACCTAAATCCCACATATTAATATTACTTACTAGAAATTTCTTACTGTAACAAATCTTAGATTTTTTAAATTGAATTGTGATATGCCGTGTTTTAATTGTTTGCGAAAAAATTTTTGAATCTAGTAAATTTACTATAACGATGAAAAAGACTATTTATTTGTTTATTTATTTATTTGAAAGATGTTAATGGCATATCTGACTACTGTCAACTATGGATACGTATAACGGATACCCTTACACCGGAATCACCAGTTTAACGGACCAAATTTGAAGTACCGAATTTTTAATATATAATTTATAATGATTATAACGAATTTAATAGTAAAAAGGCCATATTAGCCCATATACCGATTTCTGTTATATAGGTATATAGGATATGCTATATAACGGAATTCTTTGGTCAGCCCAAATTTCGTTATATCCATAGTTGACAGTATTTATAATTGGCTTTTTAAAACTAAGCATACAAGCCAATAACATCAACATTATCTAAAAAGCCTCAAATATTGAATTTTTTTTTTTAAAAAAAAAAAATAATAAATACAAATCGTAGTTTTAATTTTAAACTTTATTAATAACATTCACAAAGTCTAAAATACAAATTATACTATGGCTCAGCTTTATTTATATTTGTTTATTTCTCAAAAACTTTAATTTTTTGACAAGCGCACTAGGTTTTCGTCTTTCGTCGGATGAATTTTGATTTCACCTTTCACCAGTGATTTTATCTTTCTGAGTTTAGGTTTCGCCTTTCGTCATCATGCGGAAAGCTTTTGTCTAACAACTAAAATTTTAACATAATATTTAGATACAACGGCAAAAGTTATATATAAAGTATAAAGATGAGCATTCATCTAATTCTCTTAAATAAAATATAGCCTTGTTATTTTTTTGTTTTAAAGTGAGGTCTTATCTCAGTTTGTCTCTGTTTTATTAAAATGTTATAATGTATACAAGTAGTAGAAACTAATGTAGTACTAATATAAATTTCTAAAAACTAAAAACTCAGGCTAGTTTACTTGCAACCCAAGCTTTGCTAAGAGGGGGTTGACAAACCTCACCTAGTCAGGGATGTGTTATATTTGATAAACATGTTTTTCTGTATGTGCCCTTTTATATCAGTAGTATCGATTTGCATTGTGTTATTTGTACTGCAGATATTTGTCGTGTTGTGCTTTACATCTTGGGACCCATATCTTTTTGTATATTTTCTTTAAGATATTATGCAGTGAAATTGTCTTTTCTACTAGGCGTTGAGGTATAACTATTGACTTGTTTAGTTTCTGTAAAAGTAGAAACCGTAAATAAAGTCTATTATTGTTATCTGATAGTGCTTTGTTGAATATATTAGCTATGTTTGAAGTATAATTCGTGTCGGTAATTTTTGCTCTTTTCTAAAATATTTCTAGCAGTTTCAGTGATAATTTGACTTACGTTATATGTATTCTTTGGGCAAGTTAGCCAGTGTAGTGTCATAGGTAAAATCGTACTCCAGCCAACTCATAAAAAAGATCGTCATAGTGGCCTCATTACCAAATCGGTAGTACGCATCTGAAACATATCGATATGCGCCAGGCGATCGAGACCATACGATCGAAGAAAGATCGTACACCAAGCCCCAACTTGGAAACCACCACCAACCCAATAAGGGAAAGGTTGATTAAGACTTACCTGTTCGCACAATGATGGCTGGAAATGGACGTTAGTTCAATTTTACCCTATTTGGGATAAGTGTGAGGCAGTGGCAAAAAGAGGGCGATTGATCACGGAAAATTGGTGCTGAAACATCTCTCTCTCGTTCTATTATGGCCGTGGGAAATGCTAAAGTAACGAAAGGCTGTGTATGGAAGGGTTAAAAGTTAGTACAAATAAGGTGGAAATTCAAGTAAGGGAGGATGGTTATGATCTTGTATGTGCCCACCTTAGGGTAATTTTGTTATAAATAGGGGCAGAATTTTCTCTCTCGTAAAAAAGCAAGTAAGCGAGCAGAAGAACGAAAAGTGTGCTCTCTACATCTGGTAACGTGCTCAAAAGCCGCCTTAACCTGTGCCAAATCGTAAACCGCCTCGTCAAGCTTTTGAGTGACGTTACACGACATCAACGAATTCGACAATCCGTCGCATTTCTTCTATCCGTTGTTGTATACGATTCCGCTAAATTACCCACTGACAGTAGGTTTGTTTCGTCTTCTTTTGGCATCTTGGGCATATAGAGTTGGGTATTTTTTGTGATTTCTGTTGTATAAATTTTGGAGTATATGGAGTTCATTTAACATTAGCTTTAGTTTAAATGCTTTGAGGTGTGATAGCTTAGGGCAAGTATTTCTTGTAGTTGGCTTGTTTTTATAGTTTAGGAAGCAATAGAAGGTGTTCCAATCGATCTCTTGTCGTATTTGATCCCAAGACTTTGTTCTATGTTGTAGCCTTATAAATTTTAAAAAATCATTTATAATAAATCGTATTGTTAATTATACTACTGTACTCTACCTTGTGATTATCTCATTCTGAATTTATGATAATGTAATTTATTTTTGCTCAACATAATAGATGCATCTTTGCATCGAAAATTGACTTTTCTCGGTTGCCGCTATTTTCGAGGGCTTTAATTAATATAATTAAGCTTTTGCACTAAGAACTTGAAATAAGGCGATTTCGTTCTTAACCGATTTATAGAATTCATAGATTAGACGGTCTAATCCAAGGACTTATTAGGCATGTAAGATTTTAAAACTTATTATTTATTGATTTATTTATTTTTTTGTTGTGAGGCAGTTTTTATTATTGTATCAACATTCTCGAGCCACTTAAGCCTACCTATCAGTTTTATTAATTAACCTCTCACTTTTACATGCAACAAAAATTTAAAGCCTAACATAAGATTCTTCATACGATGAGTAAAGATGAATCCACACATTCATTCGAGTCTAGCCACCATGTTGTTGAGATCATAAAAAATAAATTGCACAATGGCAAAAAAATAAATCAAATTCTGTTATCATCAAATATGAATTATGCCGTGACATTGAGTGTGGAAGATGAATCTATCTGTGAATGGCAATTTAATAACGTTCTTTTCGAACCTCTCCATTTAATAAGTATTGCGGATCTTTTTGAGGATATTACTGAAGAACCAGATATTTCATTAGAGGCTATTGCAAACAATAAACTTATAGTAATGAAAAGACCCCACGAATTTAGTGAGTCATTATCAATGAAATTCAATGATATTCGTTCATGATTATTTATTGGTAAAAAAAAATTTTTTTTTATTATTCCTTAAAGAAATTTTTAGTATAGCTACAATGAAGAAAATCCAAATCCAATTATGTCCAGATGTTTTAAATGAAGATCCGCAATCTTGTGCCTTTACTAATTATGGTGATTTAGCAGTTAATGTGGCAGCAACATTCTTTAACGAATTTCATGACACAATTTTTATGTTTTATTCAAAAGACTTGCACGATCACTGTTGGATGAGTAAGAAATCAATCAATTGTGGAATACTAGGAGAAATTAGAGCATGTTATTTAACCAGTAATGAAAAACTATTTATTTTAGACCTTTGTGGTTTATTAACACAATGGAATTTAAATACCTTAAAATTTGAAAATCAATATCAGTTAGAATGGAACAGGACTTGGATGACTGACGCACTGCAAAAACAACTCTATATCTTTAATAACAGTTTTACATTGCTTGCTGTATGTTTCCAAACTCCTGATCATTTATTTATCGCCGTTTACCTTACAGAAAATGCAACCCTCTTATCGCAGTGTAAGGTCTAAATTTAAATTAGCGCTATTTATATTAAATTTTTTATCTTATAACTGATATTTATTATTAATAGGTAAATATGAGAAAAAAAATTTGACTTATTTGAACTTCATTTCATCTGATGAAGGAGAAAGGATTCTTTTATTTTTTGATACTATAACTGAAATAAGGGACCCTTACTATCTTGACCACGTTATAAAAGAACCAAATCTATGTGAAAAATTTTCGGTTGAATTAAATAACAAAATCGATGTACAAAAAGCAGATTTATATTTGATTAAAAATGAAAGGATCTATAGTGTATTGGAAGAATGTATACTGGTTCAAGAATTTTCTAAACAACAATGGATTAAATTTTTACGAAGAAAATTAGAGGATTATAATGAAATACGACCACTACTTAGCAAATCTCAAATTGAGATTTTTTTGCAAGAAATTTTGAGTGAAAATATTAGCAAAAAAGATAATGAATTTATAAATAATGAATTTAAAGATAAAGAAGTAGAGAAAACATATAACGGATTTTTGGTAAAATGGGAAGTAAAAACAAAAGACAGGGAGAGTTTTGTATTACGGGCCTTTAAAAAATGCAACTCGAACTTAGAACAATGGGATCAGGTGGGTGAAGAACGAGAAATTCATCCAGAGCATCTAGAGCCAGGACAATATAAATTTGTTTATAGATGCAAGTTACTAGACAATGAAGATTTGGCGATGATTACAGTTATTGGCCTTTTGGTTTGGACAGTTTGGCAAAAAAAAGAAATTAGACTGCGGTATTATAAGGGATTTCCTTTTACATCAAAATATTTAAAAGATAAAGACTATAAGAATCGATATATAACGGGCACCATGAAGAAGGAATCTGAATATGGACAATCGAAATTTATTATGAAGAAACCATTCATAACAAGACTTCTTAAAAATATACTTGATCATAGAGAAAATCTATTACCACCACCAGATTTTGATGCAATCATACCATATTACAAAGAATTACGTATGAACAAAAGTTACCCATTTGAAGAATTGCTGGATGATTATATTGAAGATAAGATAACACTGATACTATATGGACACCAACTTTTGAGAAGCCTTTTGAATAACAAAAGTTATTCAATGGCGGAGAATTTGTATAAACAATGCATGAAGATAAATATCGAAGAAGAAAAAATTAATTTTTTAACAAATATCAAATTATTAGAGATTATTTCTTTTTCGCTTGTAGACTTATCTCAAAAATTCCCTGACATTTTAAAAGAATTTTTATCGTATACATCATTTACTATTATTCCAAGTGAAAGTGAAGATCTTGTAATCGGAAATTTTTCTTCATCACATCTTCAAAATCATAGAAAATATTCACAACCTTTTAAAATATCTTTCATCAATAATACATTTAATTTTTATCAAAAAATCAAATTCCCATCTCTTAAATTCTTAACAAGCAGGGTTTTCAAAAGAGTGGATGAAAATCCATCTGTAATTCTGATTATTCCTTTACCGAAATTTAATTCATACCCTAGTGCTTACAATTTCTGGAAAGAATTAATTTTTCCTAGCTGTAGTCCTTTTACGAAATATGAATCTTTGGAACTCTATAAATGGTGGAATGGTGAAGCACTTCTTAATTTTAAGTGGAATAGCTACGGAAAATATTATTTTTTGGCTATTTGGTTTTTTTTTTCCGTCTATATGGGATGTTTTTTGATAGTTGCTACTTTATCAAATGAAATATCTGAAAGTGTTCAAAAGCTGCTTTTAATTGCGACCATCTTTATTGGGGTTTTGCACCTTATTTTTGAGGTCCGCCAATTTATTCATTCTCCATTAGTATGGGTTGCTGATCCTTGGAATTATTTTGGTATTATCTCTAAAATTCAATATATATCGTTAATTATTGCTAAGTTTATATTAAATCAAATCTTTCTAAAGATTTAGGTGCAATATTACTTCCTATATTAACTTCTATAATTTGGTTGCAAAGTTTTACAATACCTATCGGGGCTGTTTCAATTTCCACCTTGTTACTTGAACTTAAATTTTTGATGTTCTTCCGTACTATCGATGTTATTGGTGTATACTTCGCAATGATAATTGGGGTTGCGAAAAGTGCATTTTCTTTTCTAATAATATTAGCCTTTATTGTGTTTGCATTTGCACATTCTTTACATCTCTTGCTAAGGCCAACAACTAAAATTTCTTTGGATTATCCTAGTCATTCAAATGATCCAAATGATCCATGGAATCTTGTGTCTACTTATAATTATATTTCAGAAGATGGTACCATATCAGAAAATCCAACACTTACTGAACTCCCAACTGCAACCACAAATATGTTTACAACGCTAAAAACTGCAATTCTAGCCGTATACATTTTGTTAACAGGTACTGTATCTTATTATTTAATTTTATTTTATTTTGGTAATAACATCAAATTTATTATATAATTTAGGCGATACAACATATTTATCTAACTGGGTATTGACTGATAATTTAACTTTAGTAATATTGATGGTTATCTTTTCTTTTTTTACAACAATCTATTTGATGAATCTATTTATTGGTTTATTGAGTAATTCAATTGCTGAGACATATAAAAAAGAATTGTTTTTACTTCAAAAGGCAAAGGTATCATTCGAAAATTTTTATGTCAACTCTTATGAAATCATAAATATTATTGAATATTATTATAATAATTGCAGATTTTAGCGGAAATAGAGCTACTTTACTTATTGCCACATCAACGAAGAAAAAATAATTGGTTTCCTGAATTAATGTAATCTCAATTACTATAATGTAAATTGTTTTTCATTAATTTTTTATTATTGACTTTTTTTAAAGATTTTATAGAATTCATCTTGATAAGCTTCGTGACGCAATTAAAATTACGAAGAGTGGTAAATGGAATGTCACAGATGAACCACCATTCATTTATGAAATTCTTTTAAAAATTTCTGGGATGAAAAATAAGGAAATAACTAGAGAGTAAAGTATGATCTATTAAAATAATTCGTTCAATTTGCATTGACATGTAAAATTGTACGAGTGGCTAGCTGTACACTCATTCTATGGTTGCCCTCTGTGGTTGTAATGCAACTATTAGTCAAATATACTATCAATAAAATCTTGGGTCACAAGTACTCACCTTAATATTTAAAAAAAAAAGTAATTATATACAATAATCAACAAAACTAATATCTAATGATTAATTTTATAGTAAAACATATAAAAAATTAAAATTTATATGATCATAAAAGTCAATATTCTTTTTATTTTTTTAAAAAAAATTTAATTTGATTAGTAAATTTAATGTTTATATTTTATAATATGTGAGTTTCATTAAGTAGAACAAATTGAGATTTATTTTTTTTAAATTATGAAGTTTACAATTAAAAATTTCATATATAAAACATATAAAATTTGTAAATTTGATTTTAAAATTAAATATAAAATTTAAAAAAAATTTTTTAAAAAAACTTAACTAAATTATTAAAATAAAGTTATTATATTTTAAAGACAATGTAAAATAAAAAAATTATTTTATAAAAAAATATAAGTTTTAATATAACATAAAACTTACAATTAAATTTTAC